CCATGTTGTGGTGACCCCCCCACCACCATAGAATAATTTTCGTTGCTACTTCGTCACTGTCATTTTGCCTCTGTTATGACTTGGGCGACCTCTGTGAAAGGGTCGTTCGACCCCCAAAGGGCTCTCGACCCACAGGTTGAGAGCCAGTGGAGTAGATGGTGACTCATAGTCACCCTGGGCCAGGGAAGAACTGCCCTGTGAGCTTCTGAGAGGGTAAATCTTCATGGGCGTAGAAAACCACGTCTTTCTCCCGAGGAGCAGCGGGAGGTTTCAAACTGCTGACCTTGTGGAACCACTACACCGCGAGGGCATCGTCTACTATCGAGCCCCACTCAGTCCCAACCCTGATAGCCATTAAAGAATGTTTCTTTCTGTGGGTAAAGTTTTCCTTGACTTTCTCTCTCTCTCTCTCTTTTTAAAAAAAAAATAATTTTATTGGGGGCTCATACAATTCTTGTCACAATCCATACATACATCCATTGTGTCAAGAAATTTGTACATTTCTTACCATCATCATTCTCAAAACATTTTCTTTCTACTTGAGCCCTTGGTATCAGCTTCTCATTTTCCCCCTCCCTCCCTACTCACCCCTCCCTCATGAACCCTTGATCATTTATAAATTATTATTATTTTTTCATGTCTCACAGGAAACATTATTGAAGGTTTTGCCCTATCACGAACCCCCATTGTTTGTGTAAATAGTGTCCGGTCACTTATGGTTTAATGTACAAGTCGACAATTCATGCATTACAACTCATAGCCAGCCTATACTTGTATAATTTCCTTTTCTCAACTATGTTTTCATTCTAGACCAGAGCTCCTCAAACTGCAGCCCACGGGCCACATGCAGCCTGCCGAGGACATCGATCTGGCCCGCCGGGTGTTTTTGCCCATTTGTTTTTTTACTTCAAAATAAGATATGTGTGCAGTGTGCATAGGAATTTGTTCATAGTTGTTTTTTTCAACTATAGTCCAGCCCTCCGACGGGTCTGAGGGACAGTGAACTGGCCTCCTGTTTAAAAACTTTGAGGACCCCTGTTCTATACCATTGACTAAATGTATGATGCTATCAATAGGATTAACTTATGGAGCTGATTGATAATGCTCTCTAACATAAAATGATAATGGTGTCTCCGAGGTGAACCAGAGATATATATAAACCATAGATATGTGAGTGGATTTGGGGCTCACACTTAATTCTAGCCCCAATCTAAGAACAATTAGTTCTTAGGACATGGCCCTTTTTGATACTTGGCCTCATAAGATCACTATAGCAACATGTGGTGCAGAAACTAGATGGTGTCCAGCTATCAAAAAGAATAGCTTTTGGGGTCTTAAAGACTTGTCTTCAAAAAAGAAGCCATTTAGGTAAGGCATCCACTAAGTCCACATGGAAGAAGCACACTAGCCTGTGGGATCCAAGGGCTTTAAATAATGTAATCCAAATCTGAAGGAGGGAATAGTATCAGAGCTTCAGTGATGAGCCCCTGGTTTGCTGTAGATGGCAGCGGAAGCCCACAGTCCATTTGCAGGGTCCATGCATGTATGAAGCCTCAGGGGAATCCCCTCTGGCCATAACTGAGAGATATGAATAGCCTTATTATCAACCAGAGAGCACTGCAAAGTCAATTATGGCAGATGTAAGTAGGATAAAATGCAATACCTTATCACTTGAAGAGGAAATACACATGGACTAAGTGAGTAGCCTTGCCGTTCTGCAGGTGCATTGCAAAGTGGATCGTTGCAGACGCACTTGGGTTACAATATAATTCCTTTTGCCTCATTTTAAATTTGTCCTAATGTTTAATATTTTCTATTTTTTATTGAGGTTTTTCTGTTCTAATTTGTTATTATTGTCATTGTTGTTTGTATTTTTTCTGTGTATGAAATCCAGGATAGGTAAATCTATAAAGGAGTAACTGGATTATTGGTTTTGGGGGGGGTATAATGGGGAAGGTTGGAAGGGTGGGGTTGGAAATGGGGAGCTGATACCATTGATTACAAGAAAGAAGATGTCCTAACATTGATTGCGTTGATAATTGAACAATTCTTGATAGGACTGAACTAATGAAAATAGATTATGTGCCAATAAAACTGTTGAAAATAAATTTAAAAATAAATCAGGAAGCCGAATCACTTGTAATAGCCCAAAGCTAGAAAAAATCAACCCCCATCGCCTGGGGAGTGAATAAATAAGGTGTTTGAGACCCGTGCAGTGCTGAGATATGCCGCACAGAAACAAACCAACAAAGGCCATTGTCATCCAGTCATTTCTGACTCTGGCGGCCGGCCCTGTGTGTATCAGAGGACAACCGGAGGCCTTAGGGTTTTCAGTGGCTGGGTTTTTAGAAGTAGATCTCCAGGCCTCTCTTCTGAGGTACCTCTGGCGACCCCAAACTGCCGACCTTGGGTAAGAAGCCCGTGGGATGAGACTCGGCAGTGGAAAGGAAGAGACTGTGCCGTCCGTCCGTGCAGTAACCCAGACGAGCCGCCACCATCACTCTCAGTCGACAAGGTGGACGCACAAAGCCACGTAGTGTACAGCCCCACTGATGTGAAATTTCTAGAAAAGGTGCAGCTGTCTGCACAGAGAGAGGGTCAGTGCCTGGCAGGGCTAGGAGGGGCGAAGCGATCGTCTGGGATTCCCACAAAGCAGTGTCTGGGAGTTGGAACTCGCTCAACGGCAGTGCGTTTGAGGAGTTTTGTTACTGCCTTTTGGAAAGCGTTTGAAAAGGTACATAATGAACAGAAAAACACTATTTTAAAAAATTGACCTACACACTTAAAATTAGTGGATTATAAGACCTGTACATTGTATCTCAATAAAGCTGTTTGTGAGGGGTTTTTTGTTTTGTTTTGTTTTCAAAAAGAGAGAGAGTGGGATTGGAGGAGGGAGCTGGGAAGACACAGTCTGGCAATCTTTTCAACCATAAAGCTCAACTGTTCCCCTAGGAACTATCTCTTAGTTAAGAAATAACATTCCTCTGCCTGCCTTCCCTTTGGGAACAAACAGTTTCACATTTGAAGACCTAAACTGAAAAACAGCCAGCCAACCAACAGTCTTCCGTGCCGAGGCGCTAGGCCCTTCTGATTGTTTCGACGCACAGGAAACCAGAGAAGGCCCCGGGGGATGTGTGTCGTCTCTAAAGGAAGCCCTCCCAGCACGTGCTCTGTCTGTGGGGAGAGTCCCAGTAGGGCTGCTGTCTGGTCTGCAGTGATCATCACAACTGTCTGTGGGCGAGGGACCATGCCCATCATTTCCAGCCTTTCTCCGATTCCCACACAGGTGCTTCCCAGAGCCAGGACCAAGAGTTTCTCAGCGTTTTACCTTAATGGAAATCCTTAGAACTGAGTCTTCCTTTCAGTGTGCCAGCGGCCTGCCTACATGCCAAAAATATAAGCCGCATCTTAATTCTTTAATTTGCTAATAGCTATTTCCAGCAGATGGAATGAGCCTGAGTCCTGTCTATTGCCGTAATAGATAGGTCACAAAATTTGCTGAGAGAGCCTGATTCGTACCTAGGGAATATTCTTCTCCCTGTCACCCACTGACACTCAGTCTTGATTAGAAGGCAAAGTGGCCCTTCCCTTTTGAACGTTAATAATTCTGGAGAGCAAATTGCCCTGCTGGGGGGCTCCAGGGGACATGCAAAAGAGACCGTGGTGGGGCTCGGCCTCGGGGGCCACAGGGAAGAGAGCTGCAGAGCATCTTTCCCCTGTCATCAGAGGTTACGCTTTCACCTTCACGGCTTCTCCACCAAAGGGACTGGCATCCCTGGTAAAGTAGATCATCATGTTCATTGAACCCACTTCTAGTCAGAAGGCATTGTGGGGTGGGAACTGCTGGCTAATTATGTGGGGCAGTACTCTAATTGCTATACCTTTCACTCTAAAAACTAGGATATTCTAATGACATTGTCTCTAGATGCTTACACACACACAAACGAGAGAGATAGAAAGAGAGAGAGAGACTGACTCGGAAAATGTATGTGCCCGGATGGTCTCCTCTCAACGGTGCATCGTTATTATTCTTTGATTGGTCACTTGACTACGGCACTGACATGTGCTAACAAAAGAGGCTATAACCCTACTGTCTGTGAAATCCGTGACTGAGGTTAACGCGCCGTTTTGACCGCGATGAGATGACGGTGTGCCTGACCCACGCCGGGCGGTTTTCCAGCAGCTCCGAGGCATGTGCCAATTGGACAGTGACTAAGGACGACCGAGGAAGAAACGACGAGTCCCGCCGCTGGCGAAGAGTATGGAGAGGACCGTGAACTGTCCTAGAAGAAGCGTAGCCGGTGCACTCCTCAGAGCAGCGGTTCTCAACCTTCCGAACCTTTCATGCGGTTCCTCCTGTGGTGGTGACACCCCCCCCCCATAAATTTATTTTCGTTGCTATTTCATCGCTGTCATTTTGCTACTGTTATGAATTGGGCGACCCCTGTGAAAGGGTCATTCGACCCCTAAAGGGGTCGAGACCCATAGGTTGAGAACTGCTGCCTTAGAGGCAAGGATGGCGAGATTTCATCTCATGTGCTTTGGACATATTATCAGGAGAGATCGCCCCTGCAGAAGGACATCATGCTCAGTCAAGCAGGGAGGCAGTTCCAGAGAGGAAGGCCCCCCACATGATGGGTGGACACAGCAGCTGCAACCGTGGGCTCTGGCCTCGGAGCGCTTGTGAGGACGGCGCAGCACGGGAGAGGTTTCCTTCTATCGCCAGAGGGCTGCTAGGAGACGGCATCAACCTGAGGCCACCTAACCACGCCAGCCACCACTCTCTAAACCGATGGCTGCCTGAAATCAATGCTGCTCCCCAGTGACATCTAATTCACTGGTGAAACCCTAGGGGAGCCCTGCATCCTTGTCAGTATCACTGTCGCCAGGGTTGTCAGACCGGTTCCATGCTCCTGATTTTGTGACTTTTCTCTCTAACTCCTCTCTCCTTCTCTCTCTGGTCCCTCCCTCCCCTCTTCTTTTTTCCGTGGCCATTTGAGATGTCCCAGCAGAGGATGATCCTTCCCCGTGTGCCCTTGAGACGGGCCACGGGCGCCAGTGTCAGAACGGCACTGTGTGCAAGCCCGGCTGGGACGGGCCCAAGCACGGCATCACCAACTTTGACAATTTCGCCTTCGCCATGCTGACGGTGTTCCAGTGCATCACCATGGAAGGCTGGACGGACGTGCTGTACTGGGTACGTAGCTCGAGGTGGGTGGTTGGCGGGCACGGCGTCCAGAAGGGTTCAAGGAAGTCTTTCCTTGGCATCTGCCTGTGATCACACACACACCCTGATGGGCTGGCTCCTGTGTATCTTTGATTTCTTCCAGCGCTAGCCCAAGAAACAGCATCAAGTTTGTATCCTAAGTAAGCCTGTCTCCCTGCCCACTAGCTTAACTGAAATCCCTTCGTTCAGTTGGCTTCCCCACCATGGTACACGCTGGCATGTTCAGTTGCCCCCCCCATAGTGGTACACGCTGGCATGTTCATTTGGCCCCCCCACTTTGGTACATGCTTGCATGCCGTCGCTGCTCCGTGAAGGCGTGAACTAAGCCCAGCACAAGGCTTGCTTTTGGCTCGTCCTGTTATAAAGTTCTGATTCTACTTTTCTTGTCGCTTCCCCAGAAGAGAGCCTAAGGACATGTTCTCTGTGTGTCACGGTTCATTCTTAGAACTAATGAGGAGAACCAGGGTTGGTCTTCCAAAAAACAAACTGTGGGGAAAACCATTTTAATTGAATGTTGAAGCCTGTGGCATGCCATTCCCATGTTTTGTTCCTCATGTTCATATGTCCATAATCTACTCCGGCTGGTTATCATGTCAACTGCTAACGAAACCAGCTGCGGATGTAGGACGCAACTTTAGGAATCCTCTCTGGGGGGCCAACCAGTTGGCAGCAAATCCTTTACTTCAGAGACACACCTTTTATGATCCAGTAGCCAATGCTGCTTTGCTGACCTGGGAACCCCTGGAATGTCCCACTGAAAAAAGGACACTAGATTTCTATGCACCCTGCCCGTCGGCAGAGACACACATACTATTTGAACTGCCAAGCTGGCAGCGCCGAGTCCATTATTTATAAAAAGTTCTAGAAAGTGCCGTTATTTGTAGTTTTTCCTCCTTCAGCGTGAGAACCAGACTTGCCAGAACCCAGTCTTGTTCTCCAGCCTTTTGGGCAAATAACGCTTGCTTCCAGGCTTGAAAATGCCATCTCTCTCAGAGGTTTGCAAATAGTCGAGTTAATTTGGCCATCGCGAAACAGTGTGAGTGCATGCTCAGGAGAGTGTTTCCCCCTGCAGCAGGGGAGAGTGAGCAGGAGGGGGATGGCTGCCCACTGAGCAGAGCTGCCAGAGAGGATGGATCCAGTGCCCAGTGAGGTGCTTCCTCTCTCCTGAGATGAACAGAAGCGTTTGTAACAGAACAGAGATGTGAAATGGTGTATTGTATCACCCACCCCCCCTGGTTTTTTTTCCATAAGCACACACTGCCTATTGATTCTCTTTGTCCAGTTTTGGCATTAGAGTGGACCTGCCAAACTCAATGTTGCTATAAAATGTGTATTTTCCAGAAAGTGGGTACTTGAAACTTACCTGCGCACCTTGTATCCAGCTAACATTCATTGAGCATGCTCCGTGTGGTCCTAGAACCTGAGGATTCCGCGACGAAGCAGATTCCGTTCCAAAGAGGTGCTCAGTTAGGGAAGCAGACGAGATTCCAAACTCAAGGCTGGTGGCCAACTAGAGTCCATGCTGGGGTCGAGTTGCTATGTTGTCATACTTTTGGAGAAGACGAAAGTCGAATCAGCCCCTGCTGCAAGCTAAAATGAAGCATTTGCAAGTTCAGGCTGGATGGAAACTTGGATTTGAATAATTGAAAAGACAGGGGCATGGAGTTTAATGGATGGTGCTTAGTAAATGCCCTAACTGGCCCTTCTCCCTAGGGTGAATCCTTCTAGCTAACTACGGGCAGAAACCCCCTTCTACGGATGGACCATTTTCTAGCAAGGGCCATAGAACAAATGACTGTGTGGGATTTTGCTTTGGAGCCTCATCCCATCAGCTTCAAGGCCATGGCTCAAGTTGCTATAGCAACACGTCCATCGCATCCCATTGAGGCAGGGTGGCAGTGGGCTGGTGAGTGTGGGATTGGGGCGAATAGGTATAATTTACTTTGCTGATGGCCCTAGTGTGTTTTTGTGATCTTCCTCCATCACCCCCTCACGCTCCCCCACTACAAGTCATGGATACCCCCCTCCAGCCAGATGTGACCCACAGAAATACTGTCATGATGACAGCCGGAGCAGGGAATAAGAAGAAGCCCACAATGGCAACTACCAATTTTCGGCAGCTGTGTTGTGCTTTCTCCCCTGGGGTGTGTGTGATAGAGCTCGGGCTGGGAATGGAAAAAGTGTCAGAGGTAAAAGAACAATCCCAGGCTCATGAGACTTGCCTCTCTCTGATTTTCCCAGCACCTTTCTGAAATGGCGCGCGCACGTGTGTGTGTGTGTGTTCACATATGCACACACACACCCCTAGAATGAAAACGGCGCCTCCAACTTGACAATGTATGATGGAAGTGCCTCCCAGCCCAGTGCTCCTGCTCTCAGAGCCTTTCTCTAATTGCTTTGACCTTTCTGTGGCCCACCCTTCCTTCCTTCCTTCCTTCCTTCCTTCCTTCCTTCCTTCCTTCCTTCCTTCCTTCCTTCCTTCCTTCCTTCCTTCCTCCTTCCCTCCCTCCGTCCCTCCCTCTCTCCCTCCCTCCCACTTCAGCATCCCTCTTCCTTGCCTTGACCCCTCTCTTTAGAACCCACAGAACCTGACGTCTTAATGCGCTACAGCATCAGATCTGGAGCTATCTAAATATAAAGATGCCCAGAGCTGCATCAGAACCATCACATTCAAAGCCCCACACAGTGTATGTGTCTGTGTCTTGAAAAGGCTTCTGGGAAATTCTGGTGCCCAAGCTAGAGCCTGAAACCTCCTAGAGACTAGCCTACTGACTCTGCATGGTACTGTTTGGATGCCCCCAGATTTGAACCAGCCTAGGGAGATGGTTTCTGCAGAAACTGGGAAAGTAGGGCCTCTCATTCCCAAGCAGGCAACCCCCTTTTATGCTTAAGGGTGGAGTGTAGGGGACCTGAGAAAGAGAGACCAAGATTTTAAAGTCTGGGAACAAATGGAGACCCCAGAGCTAGGGGAAAGTATAGTTCACTAAAGGATTGCAGAAATAACTGTTCTGTACCGGATGTCGTCTGGAATGAAGGCTAATTGCAAATGGTAGACATCAGCCTTCTGCAGAAAACAGAGAGTCGGTTTCTGTCCTTCTTAGGCATGTGTTACTGCATTCCATTTCATTTTGGAGAAGGAGTGGACTGAAGAAGCAACAGCAGTCAAAGGGCACTGGAACACTGCCTCAACTAGGATCACCAGGGGCCACGGCTTAGCCCGAGCTCCAGCTAGCTGAGCAATTAGCTTCAAACATCTGTCTAGAGGCAGTATGCACATGGCAGGGCAAGAGTGAGGGTGGTGGCATTGGGGATTGAGAAACTAACCCACAACTCAGATTGGGGCTGTTATTTCCTCAGGCAATGATTTCTTAAGCCAAAGCCTTGCCATTCACTTGCCTAATGTCCAAATGTCTTCTTCAAATGGAGTGTGGGTAGTGATCCGCTAATGAGCACCGGCCTTCTATAGAAACGGCAAAGAACCAAGCAAAGGAAGTAACCATTGATCATTACCATTGGTTTATTTTTGTTTTGGGGGGGGTTTATATTTTCTAATTAAGGACTGCTTTTTTGAGGGGTTGGATTTTTTTTAACCAAACATCCCTTGCTTTCTGAATGTAATTCAAGGCTTCCTGTCTTGTATTGTTCAAGAGTGTGCCTTCCCAAAGCTGAGGCACAGCATCAAGATAACCTGCAGGACCCCTTGTAGGATTCCCAGATAGTCTGAGAAGTAGGGTCAGTTTGTAACTCAGTATTAGCCCTTCCACACTGTAGCCAAGGGACGATTGGGTAGCATGAACTTCAGTCTGCTCGGCATCTCTTCAGGGCTGCCTTTGTTCTCTGCGCTTGAGATTGCCCTATGCTCCGTGGTAATGGAAGAGCCTCGCCACAGGACTGAGTGTGGAGCGGCAATAGAAGGTCGCATGTGAGGATGGGGGGAAGGAGAGGCTGTCATTACAGTAGGGGCCACTCTGGAAGACAGGTTCTAGCTCTCTAGAAATTCCAAAAACCCGCTGCCATCGAGTCAATTCCAATTCATAGTGCCCTGTAGGACAGACTAGAACTGCCCCTTTGATGGTGGGAGCAGAGAGCCTCTTCTTTCTTCCACAAAAAGGCTGGTTAGTTCGAACTGCTGACCTGGTGGTTAGCAGGCCAATGCATAGCCCCCCACACCACCAGCGCTCCTTTTCAGGAATGCTGCCCGAATAATTCTTCTCGCAGGGGAATTCGTTGGCCTGAGCTCACCCAAGAACAATGCATCTCCTGTGGCCCACCCAGCAAAGAGTCTCTGGCCCATTTTCCTGAACTCATGACCACCTTCCCTACACCACCCCATCCTTCCATTGATTAAAAAAAAACCCCACTAGAAATAAAAGGAAAGTGAATATTTAATGAGAACTCACATAAAAGAAATCATTTAGAATCATACATCGTGTCTTCTGTCGTACTGGGGGTTTGCTTAGGTCCAGCCTACCTTAGGAACAAAAGCCTGACATCCTCACCGTTCATGAGTCAGTTTACCAGCCCCGGTCACTCCACTTCTGAGTGGACAGGCTGGGGAGGTATTTCAGCTTCTCTCTCTCTCACACACACACATACACACACACACACACACAGCGGCCACGGTTCTCTGGGGTAGGTAGTTTGGAAATGTCCTGTTGATGACAAAAGTCTTTTGTAGCCAAGCAGATTGGATGTGAGTGTTTTAAATGCTCTTTTCCCTCGCCAGCACATTGTCAAATGCCACCCCCTCCTCTGACTCCCAAGCTGAAAAGCAGAAGGGATGGAGCTGGATGCTAACAACCGCCTATCATCCCTCTCAGTGGGGAGCTGAAAGAAATGTCCCAAGGGCCCCAGAAAGCACCTCCGGGCCTCTAGCAGGTGTCCAGAGGAGGGGACTAGGTAGGGCCTGTGGCCCTTGGTTTTCAGTTGGCCTCCGTTAGAAGACCACCCACTTTGTTGCTAGGTGCCAT